TATCTTATGACCGCATCAGTTTGAGTTTTGAGTAATGGGTCTTAATTATTAGAATGTTTACAAGTATGTTGTATAAGTCATTGGTGTTACCACCCCCCTGCCTTGAAAGTTACTCATTAACAAAATGCCAAGGACCTTGATCATTCTCTTCAGTGGCAACGTGTTTCCGGGGATGGGCCTATATTAAGAAAATGATTAGCGAATCAAACCTTTTTTTGAATGTCATAAATGTGAAGATTGATAATTTTGTGTTAAAATAAAGGTTCATTGGTGGTTTCATTGTGAGAAATTATTAATCATGTCACTTTTGTAAATGATTTTTAAAGGTTATTGACCATAGATTTGAGTATCTGTTGACCCCTCCTTTATGAAATCCCAATTACCAAAACTGTAGCATTTTGGGTTTTTACTGTCATTGTTGTTACTACTCCTACTGGTGGCACAATTTATCATAATAGTCCAAATGTATAAAAGTTATAGCTGCCATAGTGTTTTATTTAAATGGGAAATGGAACGCCAATACATTTAGCATTAAATACAATTAAGTTTCATTGGTCCAAAATGTCAATGCTTCATGCCACCCCAATTCAAAGAATACTTTTTACATCAATATTTTTGTTTTTTGTAGTGACTGATAAATGCACTTTTTTTTAATTCTTTTATTTTATTTTGTCTACTAAATTAAATTGGAATTGACCCCAACCATGTCAACCTACTGTGACCCATATAATAATGATTATTTGTGGATTCCGCTACAAGTTGAAGTCGGGGTTTACATACACCTTAGCCAAATACATTTCAACTCCAGTTTTTTCATTTCACAATTCCTGACATTTAATCCTAGTAACATTCATTCCACTGTCTTAGGTCCTTGGTCACCACTTGGGTATGGTGGTCCTCTGTAGCTCAATTGGTAAAGCATCGCGCTTGTACGCCAGGGTAGTGGTTCGATCCACGGACCACCCATACGTATTGTATGCACAGCATGACTAAGTCGCTTTGAGATAAAAGCGTCTGCTAAATGGCATATAATATTATTTTAAAGCAATGAAATTTCACTATAGTAGAGAGATGATTTATTTCACTTTATTTCTTCTTCATCACATTCCCAGTGGTCGAGTTTACATACACTAGTATATTTGGGAGCGTGCCTTTAAATTGTTTAACTGGGTCAAACTTTTTCGGTAAGCCTTCCACCATAAGTTGGGTGATTCTGGGTCCATTCCTCCCTGACCGCGTGGTGTAACTGAGTCAGGTTGTAGGGGTCTCTCCTTGCTCGCACATGCTTGATCATCGTTCTTCCCACACAATTTTCTATAGGTCTTGAGGTCATGGCTTTTGTGATGGCCACTCCAATACCTTTACGTTGAAGATGCTTTGTGTATTGTCCATTTGGAAGACCCATTTGGCGACCAAGTTTACTTCCTCTTAGTGCTGGTCTTGAGATGTTGCTTTCAATATATCCCCATATATCTTTTATGAAGTGCACCAGTCCTCCTGCAGCAAAGCACCCCCACAGCAATTATGCTTCCACCCTGGCTCACGGTTGGGATGGTGTTCTTCGGTTTGGCAAGCATCCTCCTTTTCTCCCAAACATAACGATGGTCTTAGGCAAACAGTTCTATTTTTGTTTTCATCAGACCAGAACATTTATCCAAAAAGTACGAATCTTTGTCCTCATGTGCAGTTTTTTATGGGCGGTTTTGGAGCAGTGGCTTCTTCTTGCTGAGCGGCCTTTCAAGGTTATGTCGATATAGGACTTGTTTTTACTGTGGATATAGATATTTGTACCTGTTTCCTCCTCCAACATCTTCACAGGTCTTCTGTTGTTCTGGATTGATTTGGCACTTTTCTCACACCAAGTACGTTAATCTCTAGGAGACATAAGCTTCTCCTTCCTGATGCAGTCATGACTTCTTCGTGGTCCATGGTGTTTATACTGTGTACTATGTTGTACAGATGACTTGGTACTCTTCAGGCGTTGAAATGCTCCCACAGGATGAACCAGAACTATCAGAGCTTCTAAAGCATGACATCATTTTCTGGATTTATCCAAGCTGTTTTAAAGGTCACCGTCAACTTAGTTTATGTAAACTCTGACTCACTGGAATTGTGATAACAGTGAATTATAAGTGAAATACTCTGTCCTATAAACAATTGTTGGAAAATTACTTTTGTCATGCACAAGTTGAATGTCCTAACCTACTTGCCAACTATTAGTTTGTTAACAAGCATTGTGAGTGTTGAAAACTATTTTAAGACTTCGCAACCTAAGTGTAATTTAACTTTCCGACTTCAACTGTATATGTCATCCATACTGATGGACATTGTACACTGAACAAAAATATAAACGCACATGTAAGGTTGTTTGGGCCCATTTTTCTGATCTGAAATAAAATACCCAGAAATATTCTATACGCACAAAAAATTATTTCTCTAAATTTGTGCACATGCATTTCTTTACTCCCTGTTAGTGAGCCTTTCTCCTTTTCAGGATAATACATCCACCTGACAGGTGTGGGTCTCAAGAAACTGATTCAACAGCATATCATTACACATGTACAAGAACACCTTTTGTGGCTGAGAAATAAAAGGCCTCTAAAATGTCAGTTTTGTCCACACAGACGTCTCAAGTTTTGGAGGAGCGTGCAATTGGCATGCTGACTGCAGGAATTCCACCAGAGCTGTTGCATAGAATTCATGTCATTTCTCTAACCATAAGCCGCCTTCATGTCGTTTTCGAGAATTTGGCATACGTCCACCCAGCCTCACAACCGCAGACCAGCGTGTAACCACTTCAGCCCAGGACCTCCATAATCCGGCTTCTTCACCTGCGGATCGTCTGAGACCAGCCACCCCCTAAAAGCTGACGAAACTGGTTTGTCAAACCGAAGAATTCTGCACAATCTGTCAGAAAACCGTCTCAGGAAGCTCCTCTGCGTGCTCGTCGTCCTCACCAAGGTCTTGACCTGACTACAGTTCGGGCGTCGTAACCGACTTCAGTGGCAATTCTCACCTTTGATGGCTGCTTGCTGGCATTCACAGTTAATCCGGTTTCAACTGTACCGGGCAATGGCTTGTGTGGGCGAGTGGTTGCTAGTTCACGTTGTGACAGAGTGCCCCATGGTGGCTTTGGGTTATGGTATGGGCAGGGGATAAGCTACCGGCAATTGAACACAGTCATTCTTATCATGTCAATTTGAATGCACATCGAGATACCGTGACAAGATTTCTGAAGCCATTGTCGTGCCATCATCTGCCGCCATTACCTCATGTTTCAGCATGATAATGGCACGGCCCATGTCGCAAGGATCTGTACACAATTCTGGAAGGCTGAAAATGTCCCCGTTTCTTCATGGCCTGCATACTCACCAGACATGTCACCCATTGAGATGTTTTGGGATGCCTCTGGATCGACGTGTACGACATCGTGTTCCATTCCAGCCAATATCCTGCAAACTTCGCGCAGCCATTTAAGAGGAGTTGGACAACATTCCACAGGCCACAATCACAAGCCTAACAGCAACTCTATGATCGAAGAGATGTGTTCGCTGCATGAGGCAAATGGTGGTCACACCAGATACTGACTGGTTTTCTGATCCATGCCCCTAGCTTTTTTTTAAGAGGTATCTGTGACCAACAGTGCATATCTTTCCTAGTCACCATAGATTAGGGTTTATAATGCATTATTGACTGATTTACTATATGACCGGTAACGTCATAGTAAAATCTTTGTTGCATGTTGCGTTTATATTTTGTTCAATAAATACTTGGATATGGTTTTCCTGCTTGCAAGCAAACTAGGGATTGGTGGTGTAATTCATGACAAGTCAGAAACTCGGATTCCAAGTTAAAATTAACATAAATAGGATTTTTTAAACTGACAAGTAGTTGAAGTGGACCGCTGTAAAAATGGGAATGCTCTCTGCAAAGCAGGCAGGAGGAGGCGGCTCAGGTGAGAACCATTCTAGCCAAGGAGGGCAGATACACGTGTAACAAAAACAACAGTGCTCAACTCCTAATACAAATCATTTTTCTCAAAGTTGCCGGAATGCACTTATATCAGTAGCATTCGTTACAACACTAAACATTACTAACGTCTATTCGATCAAATAAGCCTTAAGTAGCACATTTGCATTCAATTTGTGACGGCAAATTTTACACTCTCATTAACCTCCATACAAAAAATACAACACTTTCCATGTGGAAACGAGGGCTTCATCATCTTTCTACAAAGACTTTCCATGTCGGCAATGTCCGCTTTCCAGTTGTCTAAAAACTCCCATCATCAGTACTAAATGATTCACGTAATAAATGCGTCATATCCTGAGTTCCAGTCGTGAAAGCTGACACTCTCAATAATTTTTTGAGATATTAAAGTTCTTATTTGTTACTGCAAAGAAAGGCATTTTGGGTATTTCCAATTTTGAGCTGAATGTTACATCGATATTCTCAAATGCTGTAGTAAATGATGTTTTCTGCTTCTTGTTACTCATAACATAATCACGAAATAACCTTTGACCAATGAGCTCAGTGAAGTTCTGGCAAATGTGGGAATACGGCTTTATTTTTGAAACGAAATTCCCGTAACAGAAAACAGATTGTTGTTATTGTCGCAGATGTACAGTCTGGATAAAAGCCCGCCGAATAAAAAGCAGGAGTCCGCTGCAGGCGGAGCTGCTTGTCGACGAACAGACAGGATTTTTGAAACGTTGAAAAACAACAAACTTTAGCTCCTGTGTGCGAGGTTCGTGAATGGGTCAGAGATGGTAGGAGAATAGTGATGAGATGAAAGGGAAACAAGTATGGAACATAGTGGTACAAATAACGGATGGGAGTAAGAAAGAGAAAAAGAAAGGGAGAGGGATATGAAGGGGAGCGAGAGTTCTATGAGGTAGAGAGGAGTCAGAAAGGAGTTGAGAGAGCAACCTAGATTCAACGATAGTGGAAGTTTGGAGGCAGAAAGTGGCAGAGGAAGTTCAAATAATACACGAAGTAACATGGAGGTGAGGAGGAGCATAAAGATTATGAAGTTTTAGGGAGGAAGGGGAGTTTGTGGGATGATCGATAAGGTGACGTCTGAACAATATATTTGATTGGGGAAGTTGTTATGCTAAAGTGTTAAGAGAATTGGAGCTACTTGTTAGTGTTTCTGTAAGGACATGGCGCAGGGGAAAAAGCTATCGGCGTGAAGCCAATCGGGAAGTGTAAGGTGGAGTCGAGCAGCTTGTCTGACCAAGCAGGAATTCAGTGGAGTAAAGGGTTATAAAAGTGCCTGTGAGTGTTAGCACTATACCCGGTCGAGGACACCCCCACCTCACCGCTCTCACCGACCTGCTTACCCCCTTTGCCTTTACACATCCACAGGTGTGGGGATCTATTTTTCCTCGGCCTTTTTGGTAGCCTAAGGGTGGATTCCTTTACATTCCTTGACATGCAGACATGCTAAGGGGTGTGGGTGGTATTAGCTCTTTGGAAAAACAAATATATGCTCAACCTGGTGTTTGGCATCTTAGATTAGTGTATTTGCTTTCGAGTTATGATTAGTAAACTCTGTCTGATACAGATATAGACAAAGGTATGGGACAACCCCTTCAAATTAGTGGATTCAGCTATTTCAGCCAACACCCGTTGCTGACAGGTGTATACAATCAAGCACACAGCCATGCAATCCTCCATAGACAAACTTTGGCAGTAGAATGGCCTTACTAAAGAGCTCGTGACTTTCAACATGGCACCGTCATGGGATGCCACCTTTCCAAACAAGTCACCGTCAAATTTCGGGCCCTGATAGAGCTGCCCCCGGTCAACTGTAAGTGCTGTTATTGTGAAGTGGAAACATCTAGGAGAAACCCAACGGCTCAGCCGCGAAGTGTAGCCCACACAAGCTCACAGAACGGGACCGCTGAGTGCTGAACACTCACTACCGGTTCCAAACTGCCTCTGGAAGCAACTCAGCACAAAAACTGTTCGTCGGGAGCTTCATGAAATGGGTTTCCATGGCCAAAGCAGCCCACACAAGCCTAAGATCACCATCCCGCAATGCCAAGCGTTGGCTGGAGTGGTGTAAAGCTCGCCGCCATTGGATTTTGGAGCAGTGGAAACACTTTCCCTCTGGATGATGAATCACGCTTCACTATCTGGCAGTCCGAGGGATTATTCTAGGTTTGGCGATGCCAGGAGAACCCACCCGCCCCAAGGCATAGTGACAACTGTAAAGTTTGGTGGAGGAGGAATAATGGTCTGGGGCTGTTTTTCATGGTTCGGGCTAGGCCCCTTAGTTCCAGTGAAGGGAAATGTTAACGCTACAGCATACAATGACATTCGAGACGATTCTGTGCAACCCGTTTGGGGAAGGTCCTTTCCTGTTTCAGCATGACAATTCCCCTTGCACAAAGCGAGGTCCATACAGAAATGGCTTGTCGATCGGGGTGGAAGAACCTTTACTGGCCTGCACAAGAGCCCTGACCTCAATCCCATCTAACACCTTTTAGGTTAATTGGAACACCGACTGCGAGCCAGGCCTAATCGCCCAAAATCAGTGCCCGACATCGCTAATGCTCTTGTGGCTGAATGGAAGCAAGTCCCCGCAGCAGTGTTCCCAAAATCTAGTGGAAAAACCTACCCTCCCTATTAATGCCCATGAAATTTTTGGGAAAGAAATGTTCGACGAGCAGGCATCCACATACTTTTGGTCTTGTAGTGTATGTAATCCTAGTTTTTGGTGTCATAATTTTTGCTGTGTTTAATTTATTTCAACTCTTGTTTCGTAGGTGTCGTACTGCCAAGGCATGAGTGACATCGCTTCTCCGATACTTGCCGTCATGGACAATGAGGCACATGCATTCATCTGTTTCTGTGGCATCATGAAACGCCTAGAGGGCAACTTCCCCCGCCCAGATGGCCAACTCATGTCCGTCAAGTTCCAGCATCTGAAGCTGCTACTGCAGTACTCCGACCCCGAGTTCTACTGTTATTTGTGTCCCGCCGGAGCTGATGACCTGTTCTTCTGTTACCGCTGGCTGCTCTTGGAACTCAAACGGGAGTTTGCCCTTCGACGATGCCCTGAGGATGCTGGAGGTCACCTGGAGCTCCCTGCCTCCTGACCCCCCGAAACGGAAGTGAGCTTTTTGGGCCGCCCCTAGAGACAGACCAGACCAGAGTGACATCTGAGAGTGGTGTTGAAAGAGGCCCGCTTTCGCAGGTGAAGAAGAAGGGGAGCAAAAGAGAAAGCAGCGGAGACGACACATGTTGAGGCCTTCAAGAGAGGAGCAGACGGTGGAGAAAGATCGACATGAGGAAGGAGAGCGGGAGGACAGAGGAGCCCGAAGAGAGGGTGAGGGGGACTTCGACATGCCTACGTAGGAAAGGAGAAGGCGCACAACAATGCGCCTGTTCCTCCCCTTCCAGAAGCAGACCAGTTTTGGTAGTTCAAATACTACAATGCACCCGGGAAAAAAGGGCAGCTTTGATTTCGTGGAGAGAGACCCACCAGAGGGTCCTGTTGAGATGGAAGCCTCCCTCGCACCCTGTATCAATCCCCCGGCCCGCAGGCCACCGAGGACAGCGAGGAGGATCCAGGGGAGAGAGCACCCTTTATAAAGGACGAGGACAAGTCCTCCAGCCCAGAGACGGAAGAGAGGAGCTCCCCAATGGACAAAATGCCTCTCCGGTCTCCCCATTTCCTCATGGCCTGCCAAGCTGGAAGAATGGTTCCTCTCTGTCTCCAGGCTCCACTCCTTCCCCCTCAAGTTGGAGAGGTGTCTCCCCGGACACCCCGTCACCAAAGTACACCTCCCCCATTTTAACCCAACGGAAGGGCTGCGTCGCCTGAGAAAGCCACAGAGGATTTGTGTCCTTTGCCTCGGTGCCGAACGGAACCGGAGCTAACTCACCTGCTACCCCCACAGGGGGGTCTTTGGTTTCCTCTCCCTGCTGACTAGATCATTGCTCTCCTCGCCCATTTGTCCTTCGGGAGAGCTTCTTCCTTCTTCCGCACCGGTCAGCACAGTGAACAAGTCCTTTTCCAGTAACCTCCCCCTCTCCTTGCAGCAGAGCCTCCAGCACACCCGGCCAAACCTCCAAATCGACCAAACCAGAGACTATACCACATCAAAACCTTTTCCCTGCCACCGCCTCAAGGTTTTGGTAAGGATCCTTTCATGTTGTTCCTGTGCCTGTCGATCTTGCTGGAGCATCGAGACCACATTATAAAACAGCTTCGATTACAACGAGCTGGCTATGCACTTTGACCGCCTTGTCCCGCCGACCAATCTTGGGCAGGGTGCTGCAACGCGCCAAGGCCTTGTTTGCGGACTCACTGCAGAGTGAGGTGTGGGATTCGGAGGAAGGGGATGAGGTCAGCTCGGACTCGCCCACCACAGTCCCCTGCTGCTCTCCACTCCCCCCCCCTCCGCCACCAGGCCTCTTTTTAACCCCTTTGTCATCCCCCCACAACCATCCTCTCCAAACTCCACCTATAAACCTGGCTGACACCATACCTTCCCCTTCTTCACCGGTCTCCCTCTCTCTCCCTCCTCTTGACTTCTGTCACTTTTATCCCCACCCCGTCCCCAACACACTTACAGTACAATGACTAATGGTGGCCTAGTCCAGCTTTTCCCTTATCGTTGCTCATCTTATTTAGCTCTCCACCCATACCAGACTAGACTAGAAGGTTACTACTGTTAGTGTTCCCTGTGTATGCTGTCTGTGTTGCTCTTCTCTCCATTTCCTCTAGGCTTACTCTCCGCCTTGCTATGCACTCATCCATTTGAGTTTTTACTGTTTCAAACTGTCCTGTTTTTGCCTTCTCTTTTAGTTACAGGGATCATTGAACATTTCAAATACCTTTTACCTTTAAATGAGGGCCCAGGGCTGAACACATTGTGTTACCCAAGGTTAACTTAGATTATAACCTCATATTGGATAAGCCACAACTGTGTCTTCTGACGAAAGAGCTGTAGTTGTGATCACACTGCTAAGAACCAACACTGCCACTTTGCTATCTGGACTCTTTAGCACAATGGCAGTGTGTGTGGTTACTGGTTTAAGCTCTGCCCCCTCTGTTCCCTGACTTGGCTACAGTTGGAGTGAGCGGTGGCTACTGGCCATTGGAAGTATGGAGAAATATGAACAATATGAATGAGTCATGTGATTCTCCTTAAAAATGCCCTGTTGAGAATATATAAAATATGCCTGTATTTGACTGCACACATGCCAGCATAGTGATTATGAGGACACGACAACAACTGAGCTTGTAAATGTATATTCATGAGTCAGTAATTGCATTGTGTTCAATCACCTCATTACATTACATTTTCTATCAAAATAATTTCAGTACTGTATACATTTTGGTGTTGCAAGGTCACATTTTAAATATCAAGGTGAGATGAAGTTAGTCTTTCCAAAGAACTATGAAGCATGGTGTGCCGTATAGGAATCTGAACGGCAAAGAAAAGTTACAGTATATTGGGAGAGGCCTTATAAGAAATGATGGGTTTCAGTACTGCAGTTTCATGGGCAGTTTTCTGCATTTGCTCTCACAATTTACTATTGTTGCTTTAGAATCACACACAACCACTATGATCTGAACAATATACTGTATTAATGGGAATGTTTTGCTATTCAGGGGTTCAATGAATCAATGGATCATTCAATCGAGAAAAAAAAAAAAATGAAGGATTGCACAAGTTAGCATTTTTTTTTCCTGGATCATGTATCGCCGTAGGTGACGGTACATTGCACAATGTGCACATAGCTACTATATGGTGCTAAAAGATTTCATAAGATTAGGATTCATCATGGCTTATGAGAATGTTATTAATGTGTCAATCCTTATTATTCATGTTTATAGTACAGTTCTGGCCATATATATTGACCCCCTGAACTTTTTTAATAATTCCCTATTTCTTTCAAATAAGTTGAATCAAAAATTACTTTTGATCACCACAACTTATTGGTTTTCGACCAACTGACAAATTAAGCATTCAAAGAAAATAACACCCTCCCTACAATAAAACATAGGGGGATGTTCAATAATGCTGTGGGGTTGGTTGCTGCCACTGTTACTGTGGCCTGAATGTGTGCAAGACATAGTGAAATCAGAGATTATCAAGGTGTTTTGGAGTGCAATGTTCAACCCAGTGTCCAAAAACTGTCTTATGTTAAAATGTTGTGGGTCTTCCAGCAGGTCAACAACCCCAAACACACATCAGAAGCACGCTGGAATGGCTCAAGAAGAACTTTGGACTGTTCTGTAGTGGCCAGGAAAGAGTCCAGATCTGAATCACATCCATAACCAATGGCAAGAGCTAAAAACAGCAGTTGGTGGAGGGCACCCCTCAAATATTTAAGAATTAGAGCAGTTTATGTCACAGCCGTATTCTAAAATTGATTAAATAATTTTTTCGACACACAATAACCCATAATGACAGACCGAAAACAGGTTTTTTAGACATTTTTGCTAATTTATTAAAAATAAAAACAGAATACCTTATTTACATAAGTATTCAGTCCCTTTGCTATGAGACTTGAAATTGAGCTCAGGTGCATCCTGTTTCCATTGATCCTCCTTGAGATGTTTCTACGACTTGATTGGAGTCCAACTGTGGTAAATTCAGTTGATTGGACATGATTTGGAAAGGTACACACCTGTCTATATAAGGGCCAAGGGTTGACAGTGCATGTCATAGCAAAAACCAAGCCATGAGGTCGAAGGAATTGTCCGTAGAGCTCAGAGACAGGATTGTGTCGAGGAACAGATCTGGAGAAGGGTACCAAAACATTTCTGCAGCATTGAAGGGCCCCAAAACACAGTGGCCTCCATCATTCTTAAATGGAGAAGTTTGGAACCACCAAGACTCTTCCTAGAGCTGGTCCCCCGGCCCAAACTGAGCAATTGGGGAGAAGGGCCTTGTCAGAGAGTTGACCAAGAACACGATGGTCACTCTGACAGAGTCCAGAGTTCCTCGTGGAGATGGGAGAACCTTCCTGAAGGACAACCATCTCTGCAGCACTCCCAATCAGGCCTTTATGTAGAGTGGCCCGACGGAAGCCACTCCTCAGTAAAGGCCACATGACAGCCTGCTTTGAGTTTGACAAAAGGCACCTAAAGGACTCTCAGACCATAAGAAACAAGATTCTCTGTCTGATGAAACCAAGATCGAACTCACGTCTGGAGGAAACCTGGCACCATCCCTACGGTGAAGCATGGTGGTGGCAGCATCATGCTGTGGGAATGTATTTCAGCGGCAGGGACTGGGGACTAGTCAGGATCGAGGGAAAGATGAACGGAGCAAAGTACAGAGAGATCCTTGATGAAAACCTGCTCCAGAGCGCTCAGGACCTCAGACTAGGGCGAAGGTTCACCTTCAACAGGACATCAACCTAAGCACACAGCCAAGACAACGCAGGAGTGGCTTTGGGAGAAGTCTCTGAATTCTTGAGTGGCCCAGCCAGAGCCCGGACTTGAACCCGATCTAACATCTATGGAGAGACCTGAAAATAGATGGCAGCGAACGCTCCCCATCCAACTGACAGAGCTTGAGAGGATCTGCAGAGAAGAATGGGAGAAACTCCCACACACAGGTGTGCCAAGCTTCTATCATCATACCCAAGAGACGTCTAGGCTGTAATCGCTGCCAAAGGTACTTCAACCAGTACTGAAGTAAAGGGTCTGAATACTGTAAATGTCATATTTCAGTTTTTTTTATTTTATCGATTTTGCTTTGTCATTATGGGTATTTGTGTAGATTGATGAGGAAAGAAAACAATTTAATCCATTTTAGAATAAGGCTGTAACGTAACAAAATGTGGAAAAAGTCAAGGGTCTGAATAATTCTCGAATGCACTATATCTTGCAAAAGGCTGCGCAACCAAGTACTTGTCTTTATTTTCTCAATTAAAATTGTAAACTTAAGTTTACAAAAATCAATTTGTTCTGCAATGTTGGAAATTCAATAACCAGGTGTGGAGACCAAAGCTTTTTTTCAATTTCACCTTATTTTAGAAAAATAGGGAATTAAAGAAAAGTGCAAGAGTGCCAATATATTTGGCTGGAACTGTATGTCTAGAGAATTCTCTTTTCCTGTAAGATATTCGATTAATTGGTCAAAGTTTTACTCTGAAGCAAAACATTCCACTGTGAATTATATGGGCCACTTTCAGCAGTACATAACGTTGTGGAACATCCAAGTAGAAATATACTGAAGAAAAATAATAAACACAACATATAAAGTGTTGTCATGTTTCATGTTTCATGAGCTGAAATAAAAGCTCCATAAATGTTCCGTATGCACAAAAACTTATTTCTCTCATATTTTGTGGACAAATTTGTTTACATCCCTGTTAGTGAGCATTTCTCTTTTGCCAAGATAATCAATCCACCTGACAGGTGTGGCATATCAATAATCTGATTAAACAGCATTATCATTACACAGGTGCACCTTGTGCTGGGGACAATAACAGGCCCTCTAAAATGTGCAGTTTTGTCACAACACAATGCCACAGATGTCAAAAATTTTGAGGGAGCATTCAATTGGCACGCTTACTGCAGGAAATGTCCACGAGCTATTGCCAGAGATTTGAATGTTAATTTCTCTACCATAAGCCGCCTCCAACATTGTTTTAGAGAATTTGCAGTATGTCCAACTGGCCCTAACAACCTCAGACCATGTGTATGGCGTCGTGTGGGTGAGCGGTTTGGCTTATGTCAACGTTGTGAACAGAGTGCCCCATAGTGGCGGTGTGGGGTTGTAGTATGGGCAGGCAATAAGCAATTTGAATGCACAGAGATACAGTGGTGAGATCTTGAGACCCATTGTCGTGCCATTCATCCGTCATCATCAGCTCATGTTTCAGCATGGTAATGCATGTCCCATGTCGCAAGGATCTGCACACATATCCTGGAAGCTGAAAATGTCCCAGTTTTTCCTATGGCCTGCATACTCACCAGACATGTCACCCATTGAGCATGTTGGGATCCTTTGGATCGATGTGTATGACAGCGTGTTCCAGTTCCCGCCACTTCGCACAGCCATTGAAGAGGAGTGGGACAACATTCCACCTGCCACAATCAACAACTTGATCAACTCTATGCAAAGATGATGTGTCGCGCTGCATGAGGCAAATTATGGTCCTACCAGATACTGACTGGTTTTCTGATCCACGCCCCTACCTTTAAAAAAAAAAGTATCTGTGACCAACAGATGCATACAGTGGGGGAAAAAAAAGTATTTAGTCACACCAATTGTGCAAGTTCTCCCACTTAAAAAGATGAGAGAGGCCTGTCATTTTCATCATAGGTACACGTCAACTATGACAGACAAAATGAGAATTTTTTCTCCAGAAAATCACATTGTAGATTTTTAATGAATTTATTTGCAAATTATGGGGTGGAAAATATTATTGGTCAATCACAAAGTTCTCAATACTTTGTTTATACCCTTTGTTGGCAATGACACAGGTCAAACGTTTTCTGTAAGTCTTCACAAGGTTTTCACACACTGTTGCTGGTAT